CCTCCACTAGATCTTCTTGTGACCTGTACTTCTCGTAGAAAATTCTTGCATTCCTTTTCTACCATATTGTCCACACCACTGCTGCCCTTACTGATTTCCACATAACCCTTCCTCTTTTTGTTGGCTGCCTAAGAAATTTGGACTGAAGAGGCTTTCTACATCATGGGGAGTACTCCACCTGCAACCAAAAAGAGAGCAAAAAGATTCCCAAACAGAAAGCACATAAGGGCAATGAATCAATAAATGGGGTAGGGATTCACCATCTACAGAGCAAAGAATGCACATATGAGGGGAGAGGCATTTATTGGCCTCCTTTTTTGAAGCATGTCACAGGTGTTCACCTTCCCAAGAAACACCTCCCAACACAGAGCTTGAACTTTTGGTGGAATGGGCTTGCTCCAAATCTCATTCATTGGAAAATTCTCACCCCCAACAAGAGTTTGTACAAGGGTATTTAAGAAAGAAGCACAAGTAAAGGTGCCATCAGAAGAAGTAGACCATACTCTAGTGTCCTCCAAAGGTTGAACCAAGTAAGTTGACCTACGAGTATCAAGCAAACAAATAAGGGACACACTCATTATCCCTCAAACCCCATCTGAAACACAAATCCCAACTCAATCTAGAGTGAGAGAAGCTAACGGAATTTGAAATGGATTGTAACTTGTAGGTTGAAACTGAAAAAAAAAAAATCAATGAAAAGGGAACACAATGGAGTATCATCCAGCAAGAGGTCTTCCCAGAAAACCACTCTAAAAGCACAACCCACATCAAATCTGATAAGATTAAAAAAGATAGGATATACCTCTTGAACGCTTTCTATCACCTTATGCCACAGTTTGTCACTTTCCAATGGAAACCTCCAAAGCCACTTTCCTAACAAACAAGAATTCCTGTGGACTAAGTTCCCTAATCCTAAACCCCCTTTTCCCTTGTTTTGTTGGTTTATTCCCACTTTACTAGATGATCCTTCTTTTCCTCCCCAGGTTCCCAGTGAAAATCCCTCATAAGTTTTTTAATTGTCTTGCTACTCTAGTTGGAATTCTAAAGGTTGATAGGAAATAGGCTGTTAGGTTAGGTTTGCTAAAGTTGCTCTAATCAGGGTAATCCTCCTACCTATGGATAAATAATTCCTCTTCCAAAGTGCCAACYTCCTGTAAACCTCTCCACCACTGGCTTTCAAAAGACTTCTAGTCTTGGATTCCCTCCCAAAGGTAACCCTAAGTACTCCAACGGCTACAATTTGACCTCACACCCCAAAAGCTCAGCTAGCTCTCTCAAACTTTCATCTTCCAAGTTAAGCCCATACAACTTTTTACCCAATCTACCTTCAATTTGGAAAGTGATTCAAAGGAAGTAATGAGCTCACGCAAATTCCTTATACTCTCTTGATTGCCTCCCTCATAGAATAAAATGATGTCATCTGCAAACTGCAAATGAGTGACTGTCACCTCAAGTCTTCCTATCCTCCATCCTCTAAATAGGTTTCTCTGATCAGCCTCCATAATCATCCTACTTAAGACATACAACAATTAACGTGAAAAGGAAGGGGGAAAGGGAATCCCCTTGTCTCAATCCTCTTTTTGCAGGAAAGTAATCTCTAGCCACACCATTAATCATGATCAAGTACTGCAGTGAACCAAGGCATCCTTTCATCCACATCCTCCACCACTCCCCTAACACAATTCTCCCCATAATTTCCAAAAGAAAAGACCAGTCCACAAAGTCATAAGTCTTCTTTAAATCCAACTTGCACATCAAGCCCCTCCCTCTCCTCTTCTCTACTTAACATTCATTTGCTACCAATACTTGGTCAATGATCTATCTTCCTTCAACAAAGGCACCTTGATGTTGTGAGATGACCAAAGCTAACACCTTTTTTAGTCTCCTGGATAAGACCTTTGCTAATAATCTTGTAGAGGATTCCCACTAGGATTATTGGTCTGAAATCCTTTGGAATTTTTGCTTCCTTCTTTTTGGGAATTAGGTCAATGAAAGTTGAGCTTATACCTTGAGAAATCTCCCCTTCAATGTGGAACTCATTGAACACTTCTAACAAATCTCTTTTGATAAGATCCCAACACTCCTAATAAAAAGATAAAGAGAAACCATCCAGTCTAGGGGTTTTAGACCTTTCCATTGAGAAAATTGCCTCTCTTATTTCTTCTAAAGAAAACTCCACCTCTAACGCTGCAACCATAGCTTCAGACACTCTACCCTATTGAACATCTGGGAGGAAATGGCTCCTCTCCCCTTGACTCTGGTAGACATTCTTAAAGTGACCCACAAAAACCTTAATAATCTCCTCCTCCCTGGTTATCTCAAGGCCATCCACTTCTAGCCTAGTAGTTTGATTCTTTCTTCTCCTCCCATTGGCTAGAGAGTGAAAAAACTTTGTACTGACATCCCTCTCCAACAGCCACTTGCATCTAGATTTTTGCCTCCAAGAAATCTCTTCCTTCCTAAGGAATTCTTCTAACTCACATTTTAACTTCCACCTTTCCTCTCTTTCTGTCATATCTAACAGAAATATTGCTGCCATACGAACACTGTGGGGACCACATAAGTGGGGTCCACATCAGTGTTCTTTACAGTAGAAAACAAAGATCCTAAGGTAGTTCCCTAGGTACCATAACCATATTTCCTTAATAATTATTCATAATTTTCATAATAAAAGTATAGAGTTCATGTTAAAGTATAGAAAATCAACATATTAATGAGAAGAAGAAAAAGAAGGAAAAGAACATTGAAAAAATATAAGGGTTGAACCCTTATTTTTGTTAGAGGAAAAAAAGCAAAAAAAGTAGTAGTAGAAAATGTGTTGATTAGACAAAATTTTAAGTGCTTCCTTACTTATTGGTTCAGGTTTTGAAGTCTTTGAGGGTTCAATACAGCATTTAGCAATGTTTGTATTGATTAAACCCTAACAAATAAGAAAATAATAAAAAGAAATTAGTATATAAACACACAAAATGAATATTTTAGTTTAATAGTGCCTATTTTGTAATTATAATGTCAAAAAATAAAGAATAAAAAAGTATTTTATAATACATAGTACAAAACTGCTTGGCAATTAGGCGAGGCAAACCTCCAAGGGCACCTTGTCGCCTAGCCGTCGCCTTGACAACTATGATTACAAATATACCCCTATAATCTCCAACACGCTCCCTGAAAGAAAGCTCAAATACAACCAAATACACTCTACACCCTCCCTCAAACTCGAGATGGGGAACCCAGCTTGAGTTTGCAAGTAAGGGTGTTGAAGCAACCTCTACGAAAGTCAATGTACTGTTGAGGCAACCACGAATGAAACTCAAGATGTTGAAGTAGCCTCCTAGAAACCAGAATTGGCTCTTTATCTATTTTCTCCTTTTATACATTTTCTTATTTTCTTTTGCTTTAAAAATATAAAACATAATCACTGTTAATTTTCATTGGACAAATTACATCATGCCATCAATAAAGCTGCACACTATTATAGAGAAACAATTAAGAGAGAGTGTGAATGAGAGAGAGAGAGAGACGTGTTTGAGGCCATTTAAGAGAGTGTGAATGAGAGAGATTATATTATTATTATTATTAGAGAGAGAGAGACCTTTGAGTTTTCCATGGTGTCTCATCTCAATGCATGTTATTATTACATTTAAGAAAGACATTTAAGAGAAAGAGAAATAGAGAGAGAGTGATGGTGGGAATAGTAATACAACATAATAAAATAAAATTTTAATAAATGAAAAAATATAAATAGTTAATAAAAGTCCACTAAACTTCCAAATAAAAATAATAACTATTAATCAAACTTAGTAAAAATTAAAATATATTTATCTTTAATAGTTAATAAAAATTATGAAATTTGTTTTCCTTAACACGTTAATTAAAGACATTCCAATTCCACTGACAATCAAACTTAATAAACACTAATAAAAATAAGAAGTTTAAATATTATGATTTAAAATCCATTGGACATAATAAACATGGGTTTGATATATTGCACATAGAACCCGTGTTCTAATGTTGTATTTTGTTTTATTTAATTCTTTTTACTTTATTAGATAACTTTGTATTAATGCATTTTAGATAAATTAATAATATTGTTAAAATTAATAATTTTTATGAGTTAAGACCTTTACTATGCATAGTGCACATACTACATAAAAGACTTGCATAAAATAGGGGACCCATTAAAAAATTTTGTAAAAAAAATTAGTGAATATTTAAAACGTAGAACTTGTTTTATCACTCGGGTGAAGAAGACGATCTAAACAGGTCTGTACTAACCCATTTTCAAAAACGGTTCCGGTTTGTCCAAAAATCCATACTATGTGATATATGGTACAACATATTTTAACACATGAAAAAATAATAACAATATATTAATATATAATAATATATAATAATAATAATAATAGTAATATATATTTATATATAATAAAACAAGACATGCCATGTCAGCATGGCTTTCCTTTCTCCCCTACCATTCGAATTCCTTTTAATTTGTTAATTGTCAGAAAATTATAATTTGAAACCTAATAACCAAAATTAATAAAAAAATACATCTTTGTCCCCAAAATTTTATCAACATTACAAATATACCCCTGTAACCTCCAACCAAGGTTCAGTCCACAAGGATTACTGAGATGAGATTAGAGATAAATTTCTTTCCAATGGCCTTGTTTTGAATTCCTAAAAACATGAACCTGGGTGTTGATGATCTAGCTAGTATGGTTTGTAGATTTTTTTCAAGGGGGGTTACAGCAACAGCACAACAGCATTATGCCTGTCAAGTTTTTTCTTTTCTCTTCAGGATGGGGCTGCAGTCACATATTTCACATACATGTGTACATCCTCTTATGTACTCATCAGCTTTTATAGTTACATTATTCAAGAAAAAAAATGGTAAACATATTCTGTGTCTGCAAAACCAGAAGAAGAACCGAGGGTGACAGAATGATATCTGATAAAATAAGAGATAACTGAAAAAGGTATGGCAGCAGAATCCATACTTTCTTTTATTTGATCTTCTCGCATTCGCATTGCTAAAGGATCCCGGCGGATACGGACATCTGTTCCCATCATGATACGATATTCTGCAGCTGTTTGATTCTGAAACATATTAATAAGTTGGGTGTTCTCATCTTCACCAGTCTCTTCAAAATGTTTTTGCACAGCCTCCTGTGATGTATCCTTCTTCCATGCTTTAACCCATTCTGAATAGTATGCTATTGGTCCTATTCTTTCCAGTCTCTCTTGTTCAGATTGTAGTCTGATGATAATATAGAAAACCACTAATGACAAATCCAATTCATGTAAATGCAGCAGGAAAAATATCTCCAAACTACATGACTACATCTTCAGTTTTATAACTAGGAAAGAAAGCATTCACAAGATTGAAACTTTTGATAGGTTGTATAATTGTCCTGTGACTCCTGTCAAGAATATGCTTTAAGAACCCTTTGAAAATTTACAAAGGACAGTAAACAGTATGAGTACAAACAAGTAAAAGGGTTTTCTTCAGTTATCGTGTAGCAAGGTCTTCAGTAATTATTAACTGCTTAAAGTTCAAACTAACTAAATTAGTTAAACTTGGAACTTTATAACACAAAAGAGAGAGAGAGAGAGATCAACAAAATAAACAATGAGATAGACCAAACATTCCACAGGAATTCTCAACTGAGGATGCCACTTCAGCAGGTAATCACTAAATCTAGTAATCAGAAGGCTGGCAAAAGTAGCCTTGATAAGAATTACTCTTCCCCTTAGAGGTGTAGTTCCTCATCCAAGAAACGACATATCTTTGACACCTCTGAACTACTGGATCCTGAAAACAGGATGACTTTGGATTTCTTCCTAGGAAGAGCCCCAAGAAAGATGCCAACCTTCCCCCCCCCCCAAAAAAAAGGTTCATTTCATCTTGGACATATATCCATGACAAGCAGCTTTTTCTCAAGCTTATCTTCAAAATTGAGATCATTTCAAAAGATGCCTCCCTTGATGTTCACCAGAGTTTGGTGATGACTCCAAAAACAAAATGATGTCATTGGAAAATCAATAAATCATGCATGCCAAGCTTGTAAGTGATCTCTTTCTTCTGCTCTAGCAATTAAGGAGCCATTACTCATAATAGAGAACTAGGGTGGCTCTACATAGCCTCTAACCACTTCATCTAATAATTCCAAGCAACAAAGGCAAAACTCTAATGCATATATGGGGATCAGCCATCACCCAGCTATCCCTGAATGGTTTGGTGCATAAACTCCCAGTTCGCCCTATTAGACACCCTCTCCAAGCCTAATTTGCAAACAACTCCAACATCATCTTTCTAATCCTTTCTTTTGCACATTCATTTGCCACTAAAAATTCCATCCACCATTTGTCAGCACTTAACAAAAGCACTCTGATTGATTGAAATGATATGACCTAATATTACCCAAGTTAGGATGCAAGAATTTTGGCAAAAATTTTATACATACTACCAACCAAACTGATAGGACTGAAATCCTTAATCTCCTCTAAATCCTTCTTAGAGATGAGAACAACAAAAGGTTGTTACTGAAATTACCTAATGTGACTTTTCTTATGTGCATACTGTTCATAGCTTAAGGGGCCTTGGCACTTCTACTTTCTGATTACACAATACAATAAATCGCTTACCAAAACAGATATTTTTTGGATAAATAACATGAAGTTCTTTTTATTAATATATATAGTGTTTGTCATAAAAATAAATTAGTAAAAATACATATTTTCAATGAAACTGAAGAACAAACACCTTTATTCCAACTGTCCAGCCAGGAAATTGCATTTTTTTTTTATCAATAGCCAGGAAACTGCATTTAAGGCATCTTCAATGGTCTCTCTTTCTTATCATTGCACTGTTTATTTTTCAGAGAGGGAAACAGAACAAAGAAGGTAAAAGTTGAAACAACTGAAGTCCACAAAGATCAGTAGCATTCAGTAGAGAAAAAAGGGCCCACTGTAAAATTTAAACTGGATACATCTTAAACTACAGAAGATACAGCATAAACTTGCATAGAAATTAAATCACAACCTAAATTGCATTGCATTTTTCATGCTACATGAAGAAATATCTGGAAAGGCACCATTTTCCATCCACTAATATACCAAAACATGAAAAAGAAGAACTTCAAAAGCGGAGATTCACATAAAACTTTTCCTTTTGAGAAATAATGGATGTCATCCTGTATTAAACATTTACCTGCAAAGAAAATATCTCTGTTCTACCAAAATGCAAGAGCATGCCACAAAAGATGAGTAAAAGAAAAGCGATTAAGATTTTACAGTGTTACCTTTCCTCTTTAAATAGATGCCGCCTTGCCCTGTAAAGAGAGGTCTCAGTCAGTGTTGGTTGGTCTCCATAAAGCTTTACTTGCCCAGTCTCTGCCATAGCTTTAAGAAATACCTGCAAACATCTCCACATCTTTAACCTTGAGTTTCTCTAGAAGAGACTTCAGAAAATCTATAGAACTATTCAGGTTAGCAGCAGCCAATGGCACAATGAAATATATGGTGCCATTTGGCAAGTCTTTTTAGGAAGATCTACTGACAACCCTAATGGCCAAAAGACATGGAACTCTTTGGGTCTTGTCATTAAAGATCAAGACTGCTTGGTATGTCCCCTGGTCTACTGTGGTCTACCAGGCTGTTAAACGAAAGATTTTAGGCATGGAAAGACAGGAAGCTTCATTAGATTTTTGGCTGTTTCGGGCTTTCATGAGCTTTTTGAGACGTGGGTCTTTCTGGATTCCCATCTTTCATTGACAAACAGAGAAAGACCATTTTTTGGTCTAGCAGTCTTTGAAAAGTCCAAAAGATCTTCTGAAAAGAGTAGCCAAACAGGCCCTAGTAAATGTTCAACAGTAAGATCAACCTGGGAGATCTCCTGTAGAAAAAATTTTCCAGTTGGATTGCTCTAGTATCTATAAACAGTTTTTGGTGTCGCTTTTTTAGAGGGCTGATTAGGCACACCCCAATTTTGATAAGGGGACATCCCTGGTTTAAAAAATAAAAGGTATCCCTATAAAAGTACACAAGTACATAAAGGTGTCTGTCTTTTCAAAACACCACGTTTGGCCTATTCAGTAGGGTTGTGCTCCATTTATCAAAAATGAGTTGTGCTATAATCACCACTATTTTCTTAACGATAAACAGTTTTTTTCTTTTTTTATCAGTAAAAGGATTTCATTTATCAAAATCAGTAAACAGTTTTAGTATAGTTGCAGAAATTTTTTCTATCTGCCAAGAAGAAGAAAACAAAAAGAAAATGAATTTCAAGACATCTAATGAGTAGATTCACTTGAAGAAATACAGCATGGACTAGGAGATCTCCCAGGTAAAACGTTAAGATGGTGGGTCCACCTGCATCAAACATTGTGCTATTACAGCATACCAGAAAATATCATATATTCACTATTCATGCTCTTTTTTTTTTGACTAACCGTTTCAACATCTGGTTTTCTCCTTTGCCACCTTGACCATTGTTCCTTATCTGGCTTTCTCCAGTTCCACCATAGTTCTTCACTTGAAAGTGTCTCCTCGATTGGTTTCTTAACCTTTGGATCAACAAAAGGGTGAGGGTGTCCATATTTCTTGTCTAATTCATAATCATCGATGCTCTCTTCCTCAGGCTCCGTTTGATAAACAACATATTCTGAGGATGGGTCTTTAGTCTCCTCCGAAACATCATCAGAAGTTTCAAGCATTGCTGGATCACTTGAATCTACACTCAATTCTGAAGATTCTACAGTGCCTACGGATGCTTTATACTTCTTCCTTCTGCTTCCAGGATGTTTCCCAAATGATGATGCAGTTATGGACTTTCCGGTTGGCTCAGGAGCCCTGGCAGCTCTGACCCGACTCACTGTGCCTTCAGGCCAATAATCCTGCCCAGGAATGCTTGCACGAGCACCAGACGCTGGTTCAAGCTGCCCAGATGTGGAGTCCATATAACTATAGTATGGTGGACGCTCAACAGATAACGGGTCAAAGGAACCATCCTTCTTTGCACACTTGATAAAAGGAAGTAAAGTGGTCTTCCTTATAAATGGATTACTGTTCAATGCAATCTTAAGTTGCACCTTTCCTGCTGTAAATGAACCTACAAAAGATGTCTGGGTGATTCCCAGAAAATTAGATATGCACATATCAGTTATCAGTTATTACTTTAGGAGAAATACTCAAGTCAGGTCAGGGAGGAGCAATGGAGCCTTCCTACTCTTCTGTTAAAATAATGAACATGCAGGTTAGTTGGGAATGGTATTCACCATTGGTAAATTCCACCAAATATCATTGTAAAAACCAACTTAATTGAATGAGGAAACAATCTGATCCAATGTGTTTAGACATTTAAAGAAAATATATGGATCAAATTGTTATTTTTCATTCCATAGGACCAGTTTCTTCCCCTTAAAAATTTCTTGGTGGAATTATTACTAAATGGATCCCAACCACCAAGATTCATGGAACATGTACTGAGAGGATAGGGAAAGTGAGTTTTCCACAGCCTCCTTCCTGACTCATGTACTCAATTACTAATATATGAAAAAGATCAAGTACTAAAATCTAAGAATCCAATACAGAGTAAGTTAAACATTCAAAATTACTACCTTTTTTTTCTGATAGAAAGGAAAACAGATTATACAAACTCAGGGATAGAACAACCCCAAGCATCCTATAAGAAAAATAAAAAAGATTACGATAATTGCTACTCAACAATACCTTCGTACTGCAGTTAAAAATATTCCAATCACCAATTGAAGGGTAAATGACAACTAAAAAAAATGAGCTACTAGGCGGCTTTGGAAGTTTGTTTTCATATGTCTAAGTAAGGAGCATCAAAAGTTTCTCAAGGAAGCTTTATCCTTTGATAATGAGATCTTTGATATTCAAGAATGTAATTCCCAAAAGGAAAAAAACTGGTGCATACTTCAGATGATGAAAATTCCAGCATCTCATTTCCACAGGACATACCACATACGTTGGATGAGAAACATAGTTATCAATAAAATGCCTAGGTCAAAGAGCATCTTTATGAGTATCCTTTTGTGCCTGATAGCCCTGACCCAAGTGTTTTTGCGTGAGAATGTGCCAAATGTAGGTATTATTTGTGTCACATCATATCATATTGTATTCAACATAGTAAGTGAAGGAGCATTGTAAAATATCAGTTTTTAGTTCAAAGAACCATAAAATGAGTTTAGTTATTGGTTAACTATGATAGAACTTCAACTAGTAGCCTTCACTATCATATTCTTTGTGAGAGCCAAGAGGCACCTTCTTCTACTAATCTCTCAATCTCTGTGAGCAAAACAGAGTACCATTTCTCTCTATGGAAAACTAGCGGCTTCTATGGAAAACTAGCGGCTCCTTCCCTTCATGTTTTCCTTTTTCCTTACCCCCCATGCGGACCTCAGTCTCTTTATCACATTGAACATAACAAAGACTCCACCCCTGTTTTCTTTTTCTCCATTCTCTGATTTAGACAGATACATATTTTCTTCATATCTCTCTTTGGCATGAATAAAATGGGATCTTCACCCCCTTGTATTTTTCCCATAGATTATGTAATGTTGCTTTTATACTTTTAATTCTCATACTTGCTACTTCAATTAAGGAAACAACTATGTTTTAGTGGTTCAGATAAGTCCTGTTCAAGGAGAAAGAGAAAGAAGAAGGAGGAAGAAAGCTGTCAAACTAGAGAGTCTCAACCCTCCTAGTCAACCATAATCTCTATTATATTAAAATAAGGGTACAAAGACAAATATACCCCAATTTTAAGTATGGGACAAGAAAAATAAAAAAACAAAACAGAATTGCCACATCACTACACTACTTAAAGTTTAATGAAAAGACCAAGTTACCCTTACTCGACCAACTCAAACACTCTCCCTCAAGCTGGAGAATATATGTAATATAATCCTAGCTTATTACATATATAGTTCGCTCTCCCTGAACTCAAACCTTTTGTGAACAAGTCTGCCCATTGATCACCTGAACTCGTGTATTCTATGCTTATCTCTCCAGTAAGGACTTTCTCCCTAACAAAATGGCAATCAACCTCTATGTGTTTTGTCCTTTCATGGAAAATCGGATTAGATGAGATGTGGATTGCAACTTGATTGTCACAGTACAATCTCATAGGTTTGCTCATTGAGAATCCAACTTCTTGCAAAAGATTTTTTAGCCATATTGATTCACATGTGGTGTGTACCATGGCCCTGTATTCAGATTCAACACTACTCCTTGCCACAACAGTTTGCTTCTTACTCTTTCATGTCACTAGATTTCCTCCAAGAAATGTGCAATAACCTGTAGTGGATCTCCTAGTAGACACCGAGCCTGGCTAATCTGCATCTGTATACCCAACTATCTCAAGTCTTCCCCCTGGTTTGTACAACAACCCACGACCTGGAGCTCCCTTCAAGTACCGCATAATTCTAAGAACTGCATCCCAGTGAGGTACTTCAGAGTTTTGCATAAATTGATTCACCATACTAATAGCAAATGAGATGTCTGGTCTGCTAATGCTTAAGGTAGTTCAGCTTCCCCACTAACAATCTATATCTTCCAGGATCATCAAACATTTCACCTGCATCACTAATCAACTTAGCATTTGGTTCCATGGGTGTTTCAACTGATTTCACACCTAACAATCATGTTTCTTCCAACAGATCAAGAACATTTTTTCTTTGGCACAAATTTATACCTTGTATCGACCTAGCAACTTCTATACCCAAGAAGTACTTCAACTTGCCAAGATCTTTTGTTTGGAAATGTTCTTGCAAAAAGGCCTTTAGTTTGTCAATCCCTAATCTGCCGCTACCAGTTATGACTATATCATCCACATAAACCACTAATAAAATCTTTCCGGCTTCATAATCATAGCTAAACACTGAGTGGTCGACCTGACATTGTTTCATTCCAAATTTTTCAGCACTTCACTAAACTTTCCAAACCAAGCACGAGGAGACTGTTTCAGCCCATAAATTGCCTTCTTGAGCCTACACACTTTACCATCCTCCTCCTGAGCAACAAATCCTAGTGGTTGCTCCATATAGACCTCCTCCAAAAGGTCACCATGGAGGAAGGCATTTTTAATGTCAAGCTGAAACAAAGGCCAATCATACATAACTACCAAGGAAATCAAGACACAAATTGAACCAATCTTAGCCACAGAAGAAAAGGTTTCCACATAATGCACCCCATATAACTGAGAATAACCTTTAGCAACCAATCGAGCCTTCAACCATTCCACACTGCCATTTGATAAATATTTAACATATACACCCATTTACAACCTATAACATACTTACCAGGAGTAAGAGTGGTGAGCTCCCACGTGTGGTTGTACTGAAGAGCAAAGAGCTCCTCCATTACTTGACTCCACCCCAGTGAAGTAAGAGACTCCTAAACATCCTTGGGTATAGATATAGAAGACAACAAAGAAACAAACCGGTGATGTGAAGTGGAAAGGTGAGAGATAGAAACATAATTGGAAGTGAGATGTAAGGTACAACTATGTTTACCTTTTCGTAACATAATGGGAAGATCAAGTTTAGAAGAAGTAGGCAACTCTAGGACAGGAGCAACTACAGGATCTGCAGACAAGGTAGAAGTCGAAGGAGGTGTCGGTGTTTGTCAATGAGTATACACGTACCGGATCGATGGTCGTTCAGTAAGTATCTACACTAGAGGAGGTGAAGGGTCAGACATAACAGCAACAGCTGGAATGGGATCACCAACTGGAAGAGGAAGAGGGATCAATGGTGAAGAGGACGGTACATCAGGACTCAAGAAGAACGGCATGGACTCAAAAAAGGTGACATCAGGGCAGACAAATGACTTCCGAGTGATAGGATTGTAACACTTATACCCTTTCTGGGTCTAAGAATAGCCAAGAAAGATACCCTTAATAGAGCGTGCATCCGGCTTGTCTAAACCAGGTCTCAAATTATGAACAAAGCAAACACACCCAAAGACCTGGGGAGTTAATGGAAAGCAAGACAAAGTGGGAAACAAAATAGAAAAGGGAGACCGACCATAAAGAATAAAGGAGGGCATCCGATTAATGAGAAAACAAGCCCCAAGCACAGCGTCACTCCAAAATCATTTAGGAACGTTCATATGATGAAGGATAGACCGAGCAGTCTCAAGAAGATGACGGTTCTTTCGTTTAGTCACCCATTTTGTTGAGGGGTGGATGCACACGAAGTCTAATGAATGATGCCATATTGCTCCAAATATTGTTGAAAGGAGGTAAAAAAGTATTTGTGACCATTATTAGAACAAAGAAATTTTATTGGAACACCAAACTGTGTACGTATTTCAGCATGGAATTTTTGAAAAAATAGAAAACAATTCACTCCTTTCTTTCATTAAATAAATTCATGTCATCCTTAAACAATCATCAATAAAAATGATAAAATACTAGTAACCGTTATAGGACTCAACTTTAATCGGACCTTAAACATCTGAATAGACTAAAGCAAAAGGACTAAACATACGACTATCAACACTAGGACTAAAGGAAACCTGATGGTGTTTCCCATACTGACACAACTCACACTACAAGGAAGACAAATGACTCAAAGAATGAACTAGTAGCTTGAGAGTAGGGGTGAGCATTCGGTTTATTCGGTTAAAAACTGAACTGAATAAACCGAAATTTTAAAAACCAAAATAAAAAATGAAAACCGAACCGAAACCAAATTACAAGAAAACCGGAATTTTCGGTTATTTCAATTAAAAACTGAATTTAATTAATATTATATATTATAACCTATAATGCATACATATATATATATATTATTATAATATATTATGAAATTGAATTTCATTATAATACATTATATATAATATATTAATATATAAATATATAGCATATTATATATTAAATGTTATATATAGTATATTATATATTACATATTATATAATGAATTTCAGTTAATTCAATTTTTTCGGTTAATTGAATTTCTAACTCTGAAAACCAAAACCGAAAACCAAAATTCCTAAAAACCGAACTAACTAAACCGAATTACCCAAAAACTGAAAAAACCAAAACCGAAATTTTCGGTTCGATATTTCGGTTTTAACCAAATAATGCTCACCCCTACTTGAGAGCCTTGAGAGATGGATGTCTCAGCCGACAATGCCATTGGAGAGGAGTCAAGGAAGTTTGAAGTGTAACTGAAAATCCACCACCATCAAAATAATACAATCCACTAGCTTCATGCCCTCCACCAATCTTCTTCCCTGTCTAGAGATCCTAAGAAACACAAGATGAAGGGTAAAAAGTGATAGAACAATTACGGGCCTTAGTTAATTTACTAATAGACATGAGGTTGAATGGAAATTTAGGCACATATAGAACAAACGATAAAGAAAGCGATGCAATGTCAACATTACCAACAACACCACAAATGGGGAGAAGAAGAACCATTGGCCAGGGTAACAGTTTGTGATGTGGAAGTTTTAAAGAGGGAAGAAAACACACCTGGAATCCCGGTCATGTRATCAGAGGCTCCAAAATCAATAATCTAGTGAGAAGGATTGGATGCCAGACAGGCCATACCTGAGTGTGCAAGAGTAGTAGTATTATGTTGTGAAGTGGCTTGAAGGAACCTCTCATACTCATCTCGTAGTACACTCATCATCTCCTTCCCAGAAGCAAATGTAGATGTGAAATATGTTTGATCCGTATGTTGATTATCACTCACATCACCACCAACAACAACTACATGATTAGCCCATGTAGAGGGTGGGCCATTTAGATCATAACAAAAATTAATCGTATGTCCGTCTTTGCCACAATGTGTACATTTTCTAGTAGTGTGCCCTCTTCCTCTACCACGGCCTCCCCCTAAGTCATGACCTCCACCACGACCAAACATGGGACTACCATGGCCTCCTTGAAATGTATGCTCCCCCTATTGCCACGTTCACCTCCTCTCGCTACAACAAACATTGATCTATCAGACGTTGTGGTACTCTCTATGGGTTCCAAGGAAATTCTGCAAAGCCGAGCAAAGACCTCCTCAAGTGTAGGAAGAGCAAAACCTTCCAATATTTGTGCTCTAACTGGTTTATATTTTGATTTCAGCCCCATTAAGAACCTGGTTACATCAAGTTGCTCCCTTTGTTGTAGCTGAATTTTAACATCTGAAGTTAGGGGATAATGGATACTGAGTTCATTTCTGAGGTTCCTCGTACTAGCATAATACTCTTCAAGGGTCCGATTTCCTTGATGCAAATTAAAATACTCCCGATAGAGTTGATACACTCTCGTAGTATTATCCTGTCCTAAATAGAGCTTTTTGGCATGTTCCCATATTTCCTTGGTTCTATCTAGGAACATAAAGTTTACACTTATCTTAGGTTCTATATTGTTCCATAGCCATGTCAGGATTTGGGCATCCTCTTGTTCCCAATCATCAAACCCTGAAGAGTCAACTGATGGTTTATCCTCCTTCACATGTTTCACCTTCCTCTTGGCCTTGAGAAAAACCTCAACCGACTTAGCCCATGGAACATAATTTTCACCATTAAGTTTAATTGATGTCATCTACACACCTAAATAGTCTGAGGGGATCACCACCACTATCTCCGGTTGCTTCCATTATGTTCTCAATACACTAGATTTCTCCTAGTTCTGAATAATCAGCCAACAAAAAGGATTTCTGCTGTTCAATCAACACTACTGCAATCTGCACATCACCTTATGGCACTTTCTCAACCAGCCACCATAAAAAATAAAAAAATAAAAAAAAAAACTGATTTCTCACACCACTACTGTTAACCACACTATTTCGCGCATCACCATTCAAACACAAACAAAGAAAAAACCCCTCTTGAAACTGCTCAGTAGAGGGTCTGTAACACAACAAACACCACCACACAACCACTAGGGCTGTCACTCATGGTGACAGCAATCTAAGAACTACTCACCTAGGGCTGTCACACCTTCCTAACACCTGTAATGGGGATTGCAGCAGTCATGGATCACCGAAAAAGGGTTGCCACAGCCTTCTACTGGGTGTGCCACAACCTTCTACCTGTGTAACTGAGATCACACCTCAGAGAAAAGGAGAAAAGAAGAAGAGAAGAGATTGCAGGTCCAGGAACTTGAGATTGCAGCCTTCCTCTCTTTTATTTAGGGCTCTGATACCATGTTTTAGTGGTTCAGATAAGTCCTGTTCAAAGTGAAAGAGAAAGAAGAAGAAGAAGGAAGAAAGCTGTCGAACTAGAGTCTCAACCCTCCTAGTCAACCATAATCTCTATTATATTAAAATAAGGGTACAAAGTCAAATATACCCCTACTTAAGTATGGGACAAGAAAAATAAAAAAACAAAACAGAATTTCCACATCACTACACTACTTAAACTATAATGAAAAGACTAAGTTACCCTTACTCGACCAACTCTAACAAACTGGTTCATAAAAACGAAGGAAATCAGCTACAACTAACCAGGTTTTTTGATAATGCTTAGATAGAAACCCAGTTGCCTAGGCAACATGGTTCTCCCTGCCACCTACAATCACCTTAGCACTTTGACGACTAGCCCATAGAAAAAGGGAAATAAACGAAAAACCAAGTATTTATCAAAACCTAATGCCTGGAATAGAAACTTAGTTGCCTAGGCAACATAGTGCTCCCCGCCACCTAGCCTCACCTTAGCATTTTGACAAATAGCAACTACAATGAGAAGAAAGAAACGGATTTATCATTCAACAATCTAACCTAGATTGTTATGTTCAACCTGATCAGATGGTGGAACTATTTGATCTATTGTCTTCTTCTCAAGGAAACCGTTACTTAGGGGACAGAGCACATATTGGGTAGCAATATTGATCTAATCATTTCAACTTTATCCAGGAATTCACCAGCATGACACTCATAACAGGGTATGTGCAGATCCATGGTACATGTACATGAACACTGTCATAGCATGCTCAGTTTTTCTTTTAGTGCACAAGTTGCATCTTTTCTATACCTAGGTAACATAGCATGCATAACATGAATGAGTCAATGAATTTCCATTTATAACTAGTTGGGATAAGGCATGGATGATGATGATGATAATGATGGTGATTTTTTTCTCCTTTCTATCATAGAAGGAATGTTTCTCTCCCTTTCATTCCCTGACCCTTGCTTATATTAAAATAGAATGTTTCTATATTGTAGAAACAGTGTCCACTCCACATTCCATGGTGAATAACTAAAATTTAAAAAAATATATATATAGAAGATAAATTTAATTAAACTAAAAGACCTCTTAGAGCTCTACTCAACTTGAATATTGATGCTTTTTTATCAGTAAATCAGATATTAATTGTTTTAGCAAATATTCCAACACAATATCTGTTCTTAAAGGCAGAAAATTCTCTTACTCAAAATCAGCATTTTCACAACAAACTAAAACCACTGAGCCCGAGGTCTTATCTAGGTGCAACAAGTCCATGTTTCTCCATAGATTAGCAATGTATGGACAAAGATTCTTACGATGTCAAAAAAGTTATTCAGGGATGCACCAAAGGCACCAAAATTTAACACAAAATGGAAGGGAAATACTGAGGTAACAGAATGAACTAGACCATATATATTCAATACCTTGGAATTCTATGCTAAATACTCAACGCACTTAGCTAGATCCTAGGGTATTTCTTTTTCTCAATGTGAAGATTATATGATTCAGTATTTCTCTATTACCAGAAAAACCCAGTTAAAAAATTTAACGAATTTACACAAATCACTGATAAATAGCGAGAACTCATAATAGAACCAAGAAAAGTTAAAATTCAAGCATAATACAAATACAGGAATGCAGGGAATGGTGATAAGAAGTAGAACACCCTTTTAAATTTATCCAAACTAAACAAACCTGGGAATTTAAACATGACTTCCCAATAAGAAATCCATCATTAGACGCCAAACCCTTAGGTCCTCTATCTGCTAGGAAAAAAGGAAATGAACACATTTCTCTTACTAATAAGTTCAAAACATATCTCAACAGAAATATCATAATTATCTATCAAAGAAGCTGAAAATTCAAGAAAAAAAAATAGGGACCTTGATAAAGCCAAGTTGGTGCTAGAGACGCCATTTCTACAACATATACAACAGCAGGGAGTCCGAAAAAGAATTGCAGGTACTAATTATTTACTTAAAAAGATGAAAAYTTTGCTAAAGCAAAAAACCAGGTTGGAGTCAAGAAAAATGAGATAGAAATCGTTAGTTGCTTCGCCTGAGAAATAGAGTGATTCTACTGAATTTCGAGAGATGAAGAAGTGAAGCGGGAGACTGGGAAGTTGAATGCGTAACTACAACTTTGAAGAGAAGAAGAGGATAAACCCGCTAGTTATATTGTACAGCCGACCCGGTCAGTTGACTCACTTCAACTTTGCCTCCTTATCGAATGAACCGGATTACCGGCTATGCAGGGTTTATAAAATTGTACGGTCATCTATCATCAGTTCATCACTACCGTTTCTCATGGGTCCCAACTCCAAGAGTGAGAGACTGAGAGTCGCACTTTATATTCCCCTCTTCCCTTTTATCTATTTTGAAAATTTGTATCATGTCATTTCGGCCTAGAGCCATTTTGGCCTCTGAAATTTAAAATGCAATAATTTATTATCTAAAWTTTTAAAACGTACAACAAACCATTATGAAAATATACAAATACCCAAGGGTCATCTAGTTTTGTTATCAATCATCAAATATATATATATATATATATAAATTGGTCTGTTCACGTCATTATACTTCTCCTTGCTTCAAACCCTCTTTCCTAATTTTCTTTTTTTTTGAATTTTTTAATTCTGCATAATTTTTCTAAAATCACATACGCTTAACTATTTCTAACAATCATAAAGAAAAGAAGGATTTGCTTTTCTAATGTTTAGACAAGTGGCACCACTTTCCCCCACTTCTTCCTAAATTGTCTCTAATTTCTATTAATCTCCTAAATTATCTCTAACTCCTATTTATCTCTTAAATTATTCAATTTAAATGTTATTCAAATAATAAAAATTTAACATTAATAAATTAAACATTGTTTAAATATTCCAATAAATAATAATCTTAATTAAAAAACATCAAAAATAGCTAAATAATATAACAAAATATTTAATATTATATAATAACATTAAAATAACTAAAATGAAAAAAATGAAAATTTTTAAATACTTTATATATTATTTAAATATTTAAAAAACAAAATATTTAACATGACAAAATTTTAAATAGTTAGAATAAAGAAATTATKTAATAAATTTTAAAAAAATCTTAAAAGTAGAAAAATAATTATAATATAATTCATAACATTCATATTAATAATAATTTAATAATTTACAAAATTAATAACGAATTATGTAATAATAGTACAATTATAATTTTATGGATTATTAAAATAAATAAATAATTAATATTTTAAGAATTAAAATAACAATATTATTTCAATAACTAAATAATATTGTAAATAACTAATTTTACTTATATTAATTAATAATTATAGAAAATAACTATCAACAAAATTATATTTATTAGTAATTTGTTCAACGATTGGTTCAATTCAATTGCAGGTTGTTTCGCCAACCAAATCGATCTGGTCAAGTCCGCAATTTGTCACTCAAAACCGATTGACCATTAGCAAAAAACCCACCAAATCGGGTTGTACCGCTTTGGGTCTATTTTCGGTTTAGTTTGTTTGTTCAAAAGATTTAAACTTGAAAATTAACTTTAAATTTCTTAAATTTAATGATATTATTAAAAAAATAAGTTACAAAAATTAAATCTATGATATAAAATATTTTAGACTAACAAATATGGGAATTTTCCTACTTTCCCGTATTAAAAAATTAAATTTAAAATATAAAATATTAATATATATTTACTAAACCAAAGCCGATCTCAAATACTAGAAAACCGACTAACTCGGGTTGAGTTTTATCAGATTGTTTATTAAAAAGTTAAAATATAAAACAATTATATACTCTTATGTATTTCTATTGTTTAACTTTTGCTTAACAAAGCACGGCTCCCTGTCACCATGCTTCTCCTTGCTCCATTATCCCCACCCTGCATTCTCTTTGACTTTCTCTCCTCTCTCCTTCCCACCTCTCCCATTAAGCCATGTCACCCAACTACCTAAAAATATTCCTATAATCTCTCTCCTAAGGTATCTCATTTAAACTAGGAAAGTCTCATGTTTCCCCACTCCTTAATCAATTCCTAAAATGCATCCCCCAATCTATATCCACTCTCCCTCATTTAAACTATTCATATTAATTAATAAATAGTTAAATACGATTAATATTTAATCCCACCCATATATTCAATGAGTATTAAATAGTGTTATTACCAAAAGTTAAAAAAATGGTTAGTAAATTACCAAAAATTAAATATTCTTTTTAGTACAATTAGTAAATTACAAAAAATTAATAAATATTGTTATTAATTAACTCATTAACAACATTTTATAGAAATTGAAAACTCTTTAACTAATTTCTATAAAATTGAGAATCAAATTTAACAATTATAAAAAAAGTATAAAATTTTAATTATTATTATTATTATAATTAATAACCAAATACAAATGGGGGAACAAAATATTATAATGTTAGAAAATGAAATTATTAATTAATTTATATTGAAAAAGAAAAGATAAATTAGTGTAATTTTGTTAGTAAACTACCAAATAAAAAATATATTTAATAACAATTTAAAAAAAAATCAATAAATCCCTATAGTTACACAAATGTAATAAATTTTTCAAAAGTTTACATAAAACTACATTTTTGTAAAATAACATGTTTGAAATTAAAAGATATAAAGTATTTGAAAGTTTATTTAAAATGCCTTAAATAATTATTGAAAATGATTAGAATATTTTAGAAATTTTAGGGAAATTTATTACAGTTGATAGATTTTGGAAAACCATTGAAAAATTATGTAACTTTCATTGCAAATTATTGAAAATTATTAAAGATAAATGACTATGGGAAATGGAAAACTATAATTTGAACAAATAATTACACAAATTATTAAGATAAATTAGTATAATATTGGAAAAAGGAAACTATTGCTTAGTTTATACTAGAAATTATAAGATAAATTAGTATAATTATGTAAGTAAACCATTTAAAAAGAAAATAAATTATTTAGTAATGATTTAAATAAATTTTCAAAATTACACAAGTACAATAAATTTTCCAAAATTTTCATAAAATTACATTTTTGAATATTAAAGACAATTTAGTGTACTTTTAGAAATTTACAATGTGGTTGATACTCAATATATCATTTTGATCATTTCTATCATCAAATCGAATATTGGGTTGACAGGGACAGTGTTTTCAAAACTGGATCAAACCAAATGGTTAGACCGGGAAAATTGGGAACCAGACACCATTTCACCTCAAAACATGTTTTTGTCCAAAAACTGTTTATTTGGTTAGCGAACCACTGACATGGGCGGTCGAACTGTCAACCTAAACAACGGTTTTTGGCCTTTTTTTCTAATTTTTTACTTTTTTGTTAGAGCGGGTCATTCGTTTGAACCAAACAGTCAGACCGTTCGACCCCAAAACGGTTCCATATCCGGTCCAATTTTAAAAACCTTGGATAGGGAGTGGGTGACTTGCCTTGAGCTTGGCTTGGTGTGTGGCATGGCCTTGCCCATGGACTAGCCCGACCCACAACACAACATGGGCCCGTGCGGGCTCAAGCCGTGGGTCGTGCCAAACCGACCCCCGAAATTATCCTAGAGGAGGGAGGCATGGCCCAGGATGCCTCATGGGCTAGCACGACACGACTCGCACTTTGTACGGGCCACATGCGGGTCGTATCGTGCCGACCCAGCATGACCTAATTTACACCTCTACTTGAACCCACCCAATACTGGGGACAGGGCGGGGAAATTCGAGGATTTTCCAACCTTGATGAGAAGTGGGGTGCCTTGCCCCTGAACTCGCCCAACATTAAGGATTGGTTACCTTGCCCTGAACCCATGTGACATTGGGGACGGAGCGGGGATGGGGTAGAGTGTCTTGACTATAGGGCAGGGAAAGGGATGGGGTGCCCTGCCCTGAACCCACCCCGTTGTCATTCCTATATAATTGTTAATTATTAGTGGAATTAATAAAAATATCAGCTTTTATAATTATTTTTATTTATTTAAAATTAATCAAATTTTCATTTAAAAATTATTAAAATTACTACAAATTATTAATAAAACTAAATTTATTAAAAAATAATTATTCATATTCAATTAAAAATAATTATTTTTTATAAATCAACATTAAATGAAAAATAAAATTATTAAATCTTTCATATTTTCTCGTGCATCGCACGGGTCCCTACTAGTATAGAAATACACAAATATTCGTAGAGTACTAGTCTTGTCGGTAAACCAAATCATCTCTTATTGGGATAAGAACAGTTTGTTCAAAATTTCAAATCAATACCATTTTCTGAACGAGTGAAATTTCACATGTTTAATTCAGATTGGGGCTTAGAGCCTTAAGCTAGAACAATCACAGATCCAGAGTAGGAATCCAGTTGGTCATCCGTCGAACAAATATGAGTGACCCGTCTGGAGATACCCAACTTATAAGCTATAACCTGATTCAAACTGGTCAAAAATAACATGAGAAATTAAAGTCAAGCATGGAACTATCTTTCTGCTTACCGATTATAATTAGATAGATGATCAAGGCATCAATGGTGATCAAAACGCAAATATGAACCGCCAAGGCTCCAAAGCCTCCCGAACGACTAGGCCAGGACGTCGATGTAAGTCCTTGAATCACCACAATGAATATAGTTCAGGAGGAAACAGGCAAAAATATCTGAAAAGACAACGATGATAAAGATGAGTGTAGGTATGTACAACTTACTTAGACCCTCAAAGAATACTCAAACACCAAGAATACCACCACAAAAACACTTACAAATAGTCCACGGTCAGCTCCCCACGTCGCAATTAACCTACAATCAACCATGGTCGTTGCGATGAACCCGTTGCATGTTAAATAGAACCACGATAAGGCTGCCACCCACCAAATCCAGTCAGTAACCAAAACTCAAACAAGCTTTAGAAAGATTTGCCTACAAGATCCAAGCACCCTCGGGTGTGTGATGAAGTCACACTCACAACGGATCGGGAGGACAACGGACCAAGCCTGTGGCGAGACCCGACCATGTACCCAAACACGTGGAACCGTTACAAAGAAGCGCTTCGCAAATCGCCACAGGACATTAACGAATATCGACTTTCGGACGGTGATGTCATTGTCTCCACGTAGGATTAGTGATGGCGTGCAAAAAAGGTGGTAACACACAT